CTGACTGAGGATAGGACTGAAGATTGATGAATGCCGACTGCAACTTAATTGCAGTGATCCAATTTTCTTTGCGCCCTGTAGAAAGGTTAGAAATGTTTCAAAAGCATAGGTGAATACGTAAAACAAGTTAAAGAATCCTGAGAAGAAAAATCTTCAGAACTGCTAGCAAAATACACAGGAAAACCGAACTAAATTAAAAGAAGCATAACAAAATGGGTGGAGACATTTGCTAATAGTGAGAGAAAGGGTGGAAAAATACTAATAATATACTAGTAATTATAATAATAATAGCGATTTTCTTCGTATTTTTGTTGTCTAGTATAGTATAATGTGTACATTATACTTCCACGTGATTTCTGTGCGGTTGGTCTCTACGTGACATACTTAGTGGAAACCTCATAGAAAGCGGCTCTGAAGAAAGCGAAATCCGCCGAAACGTCAGCTTAATCGTGAACAAAGAATAGTAACACCTCGCGTTTGCTCAACAAAAATACGAAGAAAATCACTTGATCAATGCCGAGGTTAATAGAAAGTCGGTCGTGGTAATAATAATAGCCGTACATAGAAAGCTCATTCGTAAGCTATGGAATGACGTAACGCACCGCGGAGGCAAGATATGTTAGGTTATTTATTCATATGATCTTCGAAACTGATCGTAAGTTGATGTAAGGTTGGTGGTATAGGTCTTTATTGCCGTTATCGCTATTGTCGTTGTTGCTGTTGTGGGCAGTCCCACTCGTAACATCACGGCTCTGAGGAAGGTGAAATCGCCGAAACGTTAGCCATCGGCGAGCAAGAACAACAGCAACAACAACAACAGCGACAACGATAACGAAGACCTATACCAACTTCGTAGCAGCTTAAGAAGATCAGTTTATAAGGTCATATAAATAAATATATCAACTATCTATGCCGAGGTTCATAGAAAGTCGATCTTTTGAGTTATATTAGTTTAGTACATTGGAATGCCTAATTTTATTGTTTTAATTTTCCGTGTAATTTTTTAAATATAAGTTTTATTCTTTATGCATGTTTAAAACATATTTTTGCAGCAGAATGTCTGCTTTTTTACGTCCAATTTTGGTTTTTTGAGATTTACTATTTTAAAATTTTTACAGTCTTTAACTCTAGTTTGAATCACCGTCGTATTGGCGTCCTTTTTCTGTACAGTGGGGAAATGGACACAATGCCGCGGCAGGAGCTCGGAATATCATCAAACTTGGGGTGAAGGTAGCGTTGGTGAATCAACAATGCGAACGTGGTCCTGGAAATTCCGATCTGGTGATTTCAATCTCGAAGTTAAAGGACGCCACCGACATCCCAATGAACTTAACGAAGACAAATTGAAGACACTGGTGGAAGCAAATACGCGAACAAACTGTTCGAGAGCTTGCAGAATAGCTTGGCGTAAGCATAGGAACAATTTCCGCTCACTTGAATCGCATAGAAAAGAACAAAAACGCGGCAAGTGGGTACCTCACGAATTGAACGGCAATTTTAAAAAAATCGCCGTTTTAAAGTGTTTTCTGCTCTTATTCTCCACAACAAAAACGACCCTTTTTTGATCGAAATGTGACGTGCGACGAGAAGGGGATTCTTACGACAACCGGCGATGTTAGCTCAGTGGGTGGATTGCGATGGGACTCCAATCACTTCACTAAGCCGAAATTGCACCAGAAAGGCTATGGTGACTGTTTGCTGGTCTGCAGCCAGGTTAATTCATCAAAGCTTTGTGATTCTGGGCGAAACGGTTGCGGCAGAAAAGCAATGCCAACAAATCGACGAAATGCACCGTAAACTTTAACAACGACGACGGGTTTTAGTCAACAGAAAAGCCCCAATCGTCGTCCACAGCAAGGCCCGGCTTGCCATTGCGGAACCAACGTTGCAGAAGTAGAACGAGTTGGGCTACGAAACTTTGCTTCATCCGCCATATTCAACGAGCTCTCACCTACCGACTTTCACTTCTTTTCTAAGCAACAAATGCTTCATCAACCACGGTAACACAAAAGGTGCCTTCAACGAAATCATCACATCCAGAGCCCCAGAAGTTTATGTAACTAAAATAAATAAATTTTTATTCTTTTTGTAAAAAATGTGATAATTTTAATGGTTTTTGTTTCGATTAATAAAAGGTAGTATAAAAAAAGTTATGAGTATTTAAGGTTGTCTAAAGTTTACACTAAAAATCGAACATTTCATATGTTACAACATAATACATGATGTTTCGAGCATAGCTTCTCGGGTTCTCTTTCGGTAAACATTTATGTACTCTTCTGGTTTTTCTGTTACCTTTTTCGACCTTGTTTTAACCAAATATCAGCATTGTTTATACACATGGTCACGCGTTTGTTCTGAGGTTTGTCTTGTCGTTGTTGGTTGTGATTTCATATAGCATGGGAAACACCAATAAACGCTGGGCAAAGCCAGGTAAAAGAGTCTTAAGATCTCACTCATAACTGGCTTCCGGTCCTCTGTGTACAGCTTTGTGTACTAAGGAACTGTGTGGCAATTGCACCGGCGTGACATGATGTTAACTCATAACGAATGTGGCGAGAAACCAAGCGTGAAATAGATACGTGAATAGATATTGGATACCCGGTACGAATTTAGGAACGTCTGACTTTAGGTGTTAGCTTCTCTCCATGTCTAGCAATGAGCTACGAAATCTTTTAGACTTTTTTGAATCCTTAGACGCTTCAGCTAAGATGCCTAAGATGATACTTTGTGCGTTTTTCAGTGCCTTCACTATGCTACTAATATATCCATTATTTGTTTATTTAAGCGCCTGTTTTGCAAATCGGATACCGAATCAGTTAGCCATATGCTTCTTTGTTTAAACATGTCATCTGAACTGTGTAGCATTATTTATTGTTCCGATTTTCAGACTGAGAATGGACTGCTTGTTTTACTATTGTGGTAATAAACCTTTAATTTTCCCGGTTTTCGTGTGTCTTAGGGGCAATAAGTAATAAAACAGACGTTTTGCATAGATGCACGTTCCATCCATGGGAGCGTCGGATAAATATGAGGTGTGATTGGTTGTCATCTGTTTAGAATTCTGTTGAAAGCAACTTCTAATAGAGTTTTCTTCTAATGGACTAAAGTTTTCCAGAGGATATGTTGCAAATAAGATTTATTTTTGGAAAAAAAAGACAACAAAGCTTCACAATTAGGTTCCAGAAGTCTTCCTGAAAACTTAACCTTTAAAATTGCTCAAAGCAGCAAAGCTCTTTCAAACACAGCTTTTCAAATGGTTCACCAATTGTTTCTGCATTCTCTTACGTTTTGCGAGTATTTCAGTTCACAAAGGTTCGTGTTAAAAGTAAATGCATACTTGTAAATCATTCTGAGTTGTCATTATCGCTCTTTTTCAGAAAGTAGGTTTATGGCTACGAATTTCCCAACCAAGCAAACTTTTAGTAGAGCGCCAACACTACGTTAGTGGGGAATTATTGCCGGATTTAAACCCGTATCCTATAAAGAAGGGGGGTGTGTAGCGCAGTGGCAGGTGGTGCCCTGCAACACATATGGGATCGATCCGCCCCACTTCTCCCAGGCTCAACAAGCCTTTCATCCTTCCGAAGGCGGCAAATTGATACCAGACTTGTCCGGGAGGATATCAGCACTGGCACGATATATGAGTAGGCCACCGCGATTCATTGCATATGCCAGATATGCATTTAATCACCTTTAACGATGCCTGATGAAGAATGCTTGGCGCATCCCTTCGGGATGGTTTAACGTGGAGAGTTTTGTCCCTTTATCTTGTATAGCAACTTCATTCGTTTGCTTTGCTTAAAACTCTAGAATTCTGGAGGCGGTGAAATTGTCGAAGGCATTTACAGCCTCGGCGTGGTTTCTGAGGCACTTCACGCACAGGAAGTTGTTAAGTTATCTGAAGAATTGATAGCTGGTAAAAGTCCGGCGGATATGGTTGCTGAGGCAGTGGTTCGTATACCTCGTCTAAACTTACAGCTTGAATTGAGCGAATTTCGGTAGTGCAAATTGGCACGGCATCTATTTGTCGAGCATTCCGGGAGCGAAAATCTTAGTCAGACACTTCGAAACGGTTGAAACGGCTACGTTGAGTTTTTCTGTAAGAAGAGTAGTTTATGTTTCTACCCTACAGGAAAGCCTTCGATTCATCGCCAATACTAGTAGAGGGACATCTACGACCTCCGTCATTTACAACATCGGATTTGCGTCGATAAAATTTTTGAAATCAGCGTTGCGTTGTGTGTTCGCTTAAACTCTACTGGTCCCATATCTCATAAATGTTTCGGGTCACTTGCAGTGAATTACGAAAGAGCTTGAATCCTTAGAAGTAAGTTTGTCGAACGTTTTCATCTCGCAATTTCTCACTTGTAAAAATCATCAAAAGTATATATCATATTAAGACCAAATCATACACTGTGAAATACATATAAGTAGTTTTCCATTAATATATAATAGGCTATCAAAAAACTTGTACCAAAAAAATGCAAAAGAAGTATGAGCATTAAAAAACTCTTATTAGTATCCATATACGAGCATCCTAGTACATCCAATGAATGCAACTCCACTGACACTTCTTGTATTAGCTGACAGTAAAATTGCATCGCGTGATGAATGCTTTTATGTTAACTGTCTATTATTTCCTAATTAGCAGACGAAAGATTGCTTCGCGCATCAAAGGAATGAAAACACAACGAAAGTATGGATTTCAGTTAGGTGTACTGTTGATGGGATGAGCAGATTTTCGTCCATTTTTGTGAGTGTCTTTATGTAAATAACAGCAATACATGAATTCCGAGGGCTCAACACTAAAACTAAGCCAGATTTTTGCTTATCACCACATTCTCAGCCACAGCGTTAGTTCATGAATAGGATCACGTGAGTGGGAGACTCTTCTTTGGTTTGTTGAAAATGTCACTAAGATCTGTTATCAAAAATGCAGCAGATTTGAGAAAAAAGTGCTAAGAGTCTTATCTTATCGACATAGGCTGTTTATTGAGGTGTCACTCAATAGCTCTACTTTTGAGAGTTGTTCCGTCGTCCGGAATCGCTGTGTAACGGTACGGTGGGCAGTGGTAGTTGTGGAATCGGGGGCGTCGGCGCGCCTCCGTCGGCGGAAAAACGGGAGTCCGAGCCGACGTCGGTGCATCACGCGCCCAGCGATCGGTTTTGTCGTAGGACGTCGCTTTGTTCACGGTACACTGTCGCTTATCATCACAGCGTTCGTTCTTCGTAAGTGTCCACGTGCGCCACTCAACGTGTCGAAGTTCAATCCAGCACGTGTTTTCGGCGTCCATCTCTACTCTTCCCATTTCCAACTACATGTGAACAACAACTATAAGCAAGTGTCGATAGCGAAACTTTAAGAAATTTCGAGTAGAATGTTTATGAGAAGCTCGAATTGTAGCCTCTACAAGACAATGACGCAGAGAGGACATAAAATCAGTGTTTAATGTGCGTGTATTAAGCTGATGACTGTGTTCTTCGTACTTATGCAGAATTGTCTCTCATTCTGTATGATCATTGTTCTTTTCGTAATATTAAGTACTTTTGTCATGCAGTATACTTTTGTTGAAGTTTACGTTTTCAGAGAGTAAAGTGGTTACAAAAGAATATTTTGACAACTGTCGCTTCATCTCGGTTGGCGACGACTGGTTCCATGAAAAACGTGTTGTTTCTAAGCGGAACTGTCGCAATTTGTAAGAACGAGAGGACGCATGTAGAAATTTCGATCGTCTTTCAAGCTATGTCTAGCAACGATTCGTTTTCATATTTACTCACGGTTCCATAAAGCGTTTTATAAAACTAATAGAATCGGTAGAAAATCCTTCGCTACAGCATTTGCTCAAGTAGAGCAGAAATCCAAGTGGTAGGTTAAAGCCCATGAGAGTTCAAAGAGATCCTGCAGCTGATTTCTTACAAATAGCGAAGAGGACATAACCAAAGCATCAGCTAAATGGTAGGTCATATCTTAAAGCCCCAGTCAGTTCTAGAACAAAAGAAATTCTATAGATCTCTGGCATATTATAATGTAAACAAAGGTGTGCCCCTTTTCCAGGGTCTATTTCTTTAGAGAGATTGATGACTTATAACAAATCATGAAAGCAATGAATAAACGACGAAGTAATGAAATGCATGAATAATAACGACGAAAGCTGTTCATTAGGATGGTCCGCACCCTACTTTACCACATTCACATGGATCCGATGACCAAGCCGCAAAATGCTGCATACTTGCTCAACTGTACTTGACATTTCAAACCTTATATGTATCACCGTTTCACCACAGACACAAGACTGAGGAAAAGTTGATTCAAAAATTCTTGTTCTAATGCTGCCGAAAATATCTTAAAGATTTCTTCCTGATCAATTTTTGAGAGGGACCTTCTTCACCTTTTAGAATCGACTATTACGTTCCTCTTCTGACAACTCAACAATTGGTGTCCAGTGCAATGTTTATCCGACCTCGGTTGATCACCCGACGAACTGCCGTTTGTTGAAGCCCTGAACACCTATTGATTTCAAGTTGGCTTCATCGACCACGTACTCAAGTGCAGTCACCGCACAACGTTCACTTTGGATGTTAGGTAAGTGCTTCTCTGAGTACTTCGTGGCGATCCACCGTTACGACAATGTGTTGCTTCGTGTTCTCTATCGACGTTAAAATGTCTGACACATGAAATTAAGAACTCTTCGCAGTTAACTTCGTGAAGTTATATAGTGAATGTGCCAATTCTTTGCGAAAAAAGAAAAACAATGAGTAGTGAAACTGATATGTTCGAAATGTCGTGACTCGAGTTTCTATCTGAAATGTAGATAATAATGAGGAGAATTGGACTGAGCCTTCGTTCAGTTTCTGCCATGTGACGAATAGTTCCCGGGTCACCTAGCGGTTGAGCAGCTCAGTCAGTATCTTAAATTGATTAGGAACAGAGCTTTTGCGTAGCGAAAAGGTAACAGAAGTGCATTCAATCACAGCGTTACTTCATACACGTATAGATAGGTAGATGTAGATAGTATAAACAATGTATACAAGCGGTACATATATACACGGATACTACAACACTGAACTATCCGGCTTAGTGAGCTGTTAGAAAACATGATCCGTAAATTGCTCGAAATAGTTGCAGTACTTAACAGATGATGATTAGACGGCCGCCAAACACCTCGTAGTGTTCGCTAATTCGTTACCGCCTTTTGGACCATCTCTGCATAGTACTCCACAGAACTACTTTACCAGCTAAAGAAATGGATACTGCAAGAATTTGTATGAGCAATATCGGACTTATGTGGTATTTAATTATGAATATATGAACGGAATGCTGAAATAAGCTTGTCACAAGGTTGAATTTTTATCGTATAAGGCCACAACCCAAAAGCGCAACAGTGGGTGTACTCTAAAGTCAAAAAAATAGGAGTGAGAATTAAAATTTAGGTTTCTAAGTAAGCTTTCAATGAGAGATTTTTCATCAGCTTTAAAATTCGATTATGGACCGGAGACATGAACCGCTTGTAATTTGCTGCTACCACGCCCAGTAAAATCATTTATTGACACTCGATCTACTGTGAAGAAGGGCTGCGTTAATTACCTTAATCGAGAAATATCTATCCATTAATAAATCCGGGACGAGTTTTAGATTTTGCACCAATTATATGTACGACCACAGAAGTGACAATAGATGGAAAACGCCGATTTGCTAATTCATCTAACAACGAAAAAGACTTAGACAATTAGCCGACTTCTAGAAAAGGCTTTGGAAATGAGGCAGTTCAATAAACTGTTGTCCAAGTTTATTAACAATCATTAATTAACAATTAGGTTTATTTGCTGTTATACGTGCCATTACAGTTTCTTTCGTTTTTCAAAGTAAACAGTTCTCCATTCATGCTACCTTTACTAGGTGAAAATAGTAGTAATGTAAAACACATTTAATCTATTGACAACAGCGCGAGCCATAAATAGGTCAAACGTTGCAGAAAACAATTAGACCTTTCAAATTTAAACACACATATACCTGCCCACATCCAGATTTATTAGTTGAAATAACAACTATATAATTTCGCACAGCTTTGGCACGGAAGGAGAATCTGCTTTTTTCATTGAGAGGCCTATTAATTCCACGGATTGCTTTCTTTCGCATTTCACCATCTAACCTATTATTACAACAGCGAAGTGATTGAACAAGTCGGATTTCGCTCAGAATAAAGAGATCCCTCCCAAGTGCGCTATTGATATTGCCGGCTGGTGAGCACATGTTGGAATTCCAAGAGAAGTTGTTGTGCTACTGTTATCTTATCAATTCAAATTTCGAAAACTAAACCAAAGCTATCGTGAAATTGTTGACAGTCATCGAAAAAGGAGCACGTTCGTCATTTACTTAAATAGGACTCTACCTAGTTCACAGATTGAATACAAATTGTTCTGCTCATTATCGTTTTGTAGTGTAACCGCTCAAACGTGGGTTTTTTTCCCCACAGTTACCTTTCATAATCAAGAAAGGATTTGTAAAGCTCTTAGCGGTCACTATTACATCCACCACAAAGGTGAAACTAAGACAAATACGTTCCAGACTTGTTTTCAAGTTGCTGATGATAAGCTTAGCAGTGATGAAAATAGTAAATCAGTTTGTTTTTCTCAGTTTTTCTACCGGTATCCCCTCCAACTACTCCATTTCTTTTGGCCTGTACAAGCCAAATGTGACCATATTTGAATCCTTAACTTTCCATTCAAGTTCTGTGGTAAACAATTTTATGAATTTTCTGCACTTCAGTTGTTCTTTCTGGCGATCTGCCAGCTTAAAAAGTTATAGCGCGGCAAAACTTTCAATTTTTTATGTCTTATCGCAATGCTTTGATTCCATGCTTAACTTCAGCACTCACGTGTCACACAGAAGACAACGAGGATCGTAGTCATGATTTCTTCTCGTCTGTATTAGTTTAAACAGTATGGATTTATACGTTGTGCTGACTCTGTGGTAGATTTAGCACTAGTGTCACACGCATTCCCGTAATAGGCACTAAAAACTATTCCTACTTGTTTAATACGCGATCAGAATTCAAATAATTTTCCTACAAAAACTAGTATATATATACACACAGAGTAAGATGACCGCCGCATGAATAAGGTCATGCTAAAAGAATCTCAACTGGATGGGTGATTTTTGTTCACAAATTTCAATTCACCTCATTGCAATTGAAGAACAATTGCTCAGTTACACTTTTTTACGTAACCTAGTTTATACCCCAGTACTTGATGCTACACGGTGTATGCACGTTGTTTAAGTGACATGTGTAGCTGGAGAAAGCAAGCGGAACTGCGTGCTTGTTGGCTGTTGACTTGCACCGTCTCTCGAAAGTGGGTACACCATCGGAAAAACAACCTCGTCCTTCGGTCTGTCCCTCCATTCTTCCGTCCATTCATGTTGTTGGGCGAAAACAAGTCTCATGTTTTCTTGTCACCACTCCAAAATGTTCTTTGCTGAAATGATGACGCATTTTCTTGATAAAATCCTGACGACAAAATATATTTTATATAGGTCGGTTAAGTTCTTAATGGATTTGGGTACGGAGTTCATTGTAAATTCTTATGTTACTTGAGCATCAAAATTTGCTCAAAATCTTGAGGCCCATTATATATGCTACTCGATTTCCAGAAACAATGCATGCAGTGATCAGAAGTCCACGCTAAGCAAATCGTGTGAGTTGTTTACATAAACAGTCATTTCGCCTTTGATGACAGTGAGTCGACCCGACGTGTCGTGCATCACATGAGGAGCACGTGAGAGACACGTGACCTTAATCATAGCGCGACGTGGGGAAGTGTCGTGGAAATGTACTCAGAATTTTTTCTTTTTGCAAGTTTTGCAGCAAAATCTCGGACTCCTTCATGACAAGCACACTGAATTTCATCTTAGCAACGGTTTTTTCTGCAAATGGTTTATTGGTGACACATCATACACGAAGATGAATTGGCAAAAATGATAACGGCTCAAATGAAGCGTGTGGCAGAGAGGAATTGAGATCGAGGTAGGGATATAGCGAAGGCCGTGGATAGCAGATCGGTAACACAGGAAGCAAGCCTTCAGCAATTGGGTCAATAATCATAGGCTGCGGAGATTGCGAGGGTTTCGACGAAGGAGAGTACTCGAGGAACACGGGAGAATCACGGGAGAGGCGAGACGTGGCAGAAGAGGGCCTAGATGTCGTTGAGTGAGACGTGCTTTCTTTCAGACGTTCCAGCTCGCTTCGTAACATCGACTTCTGGCCTTTCAAACGATCTCGCTCGAGAATGAGAGCAGCGTTCCCTTCCTCGAGTTGCTGAAAATGACACAGCTTAACAACATTTAAGTTATGAGTGAATGGAAACGCAGATACTGTGATGTGTTTAGTGTGTAACATTTTACACTCCCAAATGAGAAACCATCCCAGAAAATGAATCCTACGGTGTGTGTGTCTGTGTGTGCATGTGCATGCGTGCGTGTGTGTCTGTGTGTGCGTGTGCATGTGTATTTGTGGCTAAGAACGATGACAGATGACGAGCACGTGGCAGTCACGCGACCTCACCTTAATGTGGTCACGGGCGCGCGTCAGCAATGCAAGAGTCGTATTACGGGACGCATCAGCAATTGGTGGCACCAGAGTCTTCAGAGTCTCCAAACATCCCCTCAAATTCGCTCTTCGAGTCTTCTCCAACTCATTGTGAGCAGCCCTGCAGAAACACGTTTCCGTTAAGATCGTACGAAAATTGCTGTTAACTCGAATGAAAACTACTGATGTGCTAAGATGAATTTGTCCGGAAACGAGAAGAACGGACGCACACCTGTAACTGCGTTGCAGAATGACTCACCGACTGTGCTTCGTCGAGTTTTTTCGCGGTGAGGAGGGAACACAATAAGGCTGCGTACTTGTTGACGCAGAGCAGAACTTGCGTTCAACGCACATCTTTCTTGATGTAAGGCCCCTACTAGATTCTTGCTGTTCAACTCCTGAAAAAAATGTTTTCGTCGAAACGGTATCGGCTGCACATTGATCTTTGTTAATACAATAAGAGAACACTCTCTAAAACACTTAATAACCAGCTGGAGAATAACATTTCCATCATGGAAAGATAAGTCGTGTCTGTGTGAGATTAGAAAAATAAAAATATCCAACGTATTAGTATGTTATAACGACAGTAATATGATGTGCAACGAACCAGAGTAAACTGACTGAGATGTATCGAACGACAAAGGTGGATGGGTTGCCGGTCGAGGGCATCGTGTATTCGCCAGTGGTTGGATGACGGTGTTCATTTCGGATCCAGATCCATCTAGCAGCTTAGCAGCAGTGAGTAACGTTTCGATGCTCATCTGTTGCTGCACGTCCATTTTCAGGAGTACGATCGACGACGGAGTGTGCAAGCAGCAATGGCAGGGCTAACTGCTGTGTGTGCGTGCGTGCGTGCGACAATCGTTCCAGACTGGCGGGGGGCGGGTCGGTGAACGCCTCCTCGCCCTCCAACCAACCCGACTGGGCGGCCAGCACGTGCACTGCATGTGCACCGGCCCAGCCCATACCCGAGAGGGACCGCGACTGGGGCGGAGGACGCAGAACCTGTTCACGCGCACACACACACACACATACACACGCACACATACACACACAGACACACACACACATGCAGACACACACAGACACACACATACACACAGGCTCTCCCATATCCTCCTGCCTCCACCCACCACACAGCCAGCGAGCCTGCCGGGCGGGCCATGGCCCACACTCTTACGACCGACGACTTCACGGCGATCTCTGCGATAGCGTCGGTGAAGAAACTATTTTCAAACACACCATGTGTTGTTCACGAACGGTAGTAAATGGTGGGGATTAATTTCAAAGTGACGGCAGAATAATGTGAAGTAATTTCTACTGGTTGTCAGGCAACATAAATACCCACCAAATTATCATACATGGCAGACTTTGGAGTCATAAATGGACTCTAGATATTTGAGCAGAGAGAATTCCTTGACTGGAAATTGTTCGTGGTCGTTTAGACTAATCACTCGGTAACAAGATGCCTGGAATCCATACTTCGAGCACATCTGAGTCAAAGGTTGCATCAATGAGATATTATGGTGTTTCGGGAATAAACCGGATTTATATAATAATATCATACAAACGATTCTGCGCAAATGTAGTTGATCTCAATATCTGACATTCCATCTTTTAAAAGCCCAGGTAATATTTAACAAGTAATGAACGGAAATAGTATGGTTGCTTATTCATTAGATCCTTTCATTTACTATTTGATGCATTTCCACTTTTCATTAACATGTAGGGGTCAGATGATTCTGATATCTAGAGTTGTATAGAAGTGAGAGATATTTCAGCGATTCTAAAGAGTTTCGCCTTTTTCCTATTCAGATAATGAAGTAATATTTAGCGTCATTGTTAACACGTTAATGCACCATCTAACCTTAAAACTATCTTTTTGTCCAATCTTCTTTCTGATAAGTGATGCAAACAATAGGAAACGCACTGAAATAGAGATCTAAACCGTCTTAAACGGATTAAGTCGCTGAAATTTCCTTACATTACAAGTTAATGCTGATATGTAAAACTTGGTTAAACCATGCGTCGTATTTTTTCCTCATATGGGGTACTGTATTCATGGGACATCTCCACAAGTGTAGGAGCGTGCTGTTACGTACTGGACCGTGGTGGACGTATTATTCTCTCCAACGATCCACCCACCAAGATACGTAGATAACTACTAAATAATCTGTCCTGATGTCCGATTGCAGATGAACATCGATATGGATGGAAACAATAGCTATATATATATATATATATGTATATATATGTGTATATGTATGTACGTATGTGTGTATGTGTGTGTGTGTTTGTGTGTGTAGTGGTCGGGTGGACTTTGCTCTGCGAAATGGCGCTATATGACTGGAGGCCGCTGACAGCCAGTCTCACACGTGCTTTTCCTCGTTGTAGTGTCGACCTGACCACGTGTGCGTGCATCAGTCAGGGACGTCCCAGACAACTTCCCTCTCCAGTGTTTCTCCACACAGCTAATTCCATCGGCATCTACAACAGGTCGTCTTTCGCCCACCTGCAATTCACAATATCACACTGATATTTGCGTCGCGAATGCGCACAAGAATACGCCTCCCTGTACGAACACAGTCAGGGACATGCCCATAACTTAGCAAAACGACTATTCACTCAGCAATGTCGTTATTTTCAGTGTTATGCAGAATCTTCTTTAGCTCGATGTTTTCACATAATATCAAACCGTCGGAGGAAAACAATGGTTCAGAGTACAAGTGCGATAATGTAGATCCGATCAGGTGACAATGTGTGTCAACTGGATGGTTCTCAATAATCTCAATATCGGCCACGCCATTTATGTTCCACTCCCTAATCACCCTCGAAGTGTATTCCTACATATGTCCATATACATACATACATACATACGTACATACATACATACATACATACATACATACATGCATACATACATACATACATACATGCATACATAGATACATACATACATACATACATACATACATACATACATGCATACATACATACATACATACATACATACATACATACATACATACATACATACATACATACACACATACATACATACATACATACATACATACATACATACATACATGCATGCATGCATGCATGCATACATACATGGATAAATGCGCATATATACAGATATATTTTTATTTCAGTTCACACTACCCGTTTCTCAAATCTATTCTGCTGATCCCAGCACTTGCGTGCAATTCATTTCCTCGCGGCTGTTATCGACGAAGGTCTTGGAACACTGTGTGTGACATCGGCTTCTCCTTGAGCATTTCCATTTCGTTGTGTAAAAGTCATTGAAGGCTGCTTGAGTCGAATCTCCCTGGAGTCCCATCTTGCTGCTCAGAAAGTTGACCTTACACATCTGCCTCAACACAGTCTATCAGCCACTAGTGTTCTACTAGATCCTCAACCAAGTACTTCTCAGGGCAATTGAAAAGATTCTGGACTAACGAAAACCACCAAAGCACGCGGGATTTCGGAAATGCTTCATCACCATCGATCCCATCCGCATTGTCATGGAACTGAGTGCATATTGTTATAGTGTATAATAATGAGTCACGGTGTTTTCAATAATTTGATAAAGAGCGACTAAGTTGAGATCGTCAAAGTTACTAACCTCCACTCGCCAGAACCTCATGACAGAGCTAAATTAAGCTAACATTGGCATGAAAGTGCTGACAATGGCTAAAAACTACTATCCTTGTTTTCCTTTGATGACCATACTTTTTGATAAGAAACAGTGGTCAGACAGCATGCATTTTCCGCCGCTTTTATTAGCATATGTGGAGGAACTCACTTCGTTTGAGCCTGGAGAGAATAATTTTCATAACGAACGAATTTGTTTGTGTTGCGCTCACACTAAAGCGAACGAACATCATTGAATACCCCCGACAGGTCTGTCTGAATCAACGAGAGAGGAGACATGAATAAGGTATTCACAGAATTGAGCACGAGAAAGGGTGTAGCTCAAAGGATGTGCAAGGGCATAAAAGTGACTAAAAGTACAGATCCACCGTGCTCAGTAGCTGTTTGATATTTCCTTATTCCTTAATGTACTCTTCAGAAATTGATGGAACGCGAGCAGAAGAATGATTGATGATTGCTATCGAGTGCGTTATGAACAGGGTTAGGGCACAAGTATTTCGCGCTGTACTGACGGAGAGAATCAAAAATTCAGACCAACATTCAATGTATAAACCTAACAACGTTACTGCATCCGTCACGATGTGGAAAATCAGTTGGACTTCTCAGTGAGGATTCCTAGCGATGAAAGGGGGACACGAGCCGTTAACAGCTGAACACCACAGAACGTCAAACATGCAGTAGGAATGACTCCGACCGACCCATGGTCAAGTTTTCTCACGACAACTCAGCAGCAGAATTTTGATGCTTTTCAAATCCTTCAAGTACGTTGAACCTACGAGATAGTTTACCATGTGACATGGACAAATCGAGGCTACGCTGACATTAGCTGTAATCACTCAGCAACCATCATGAGAGCAGATGGCTTAGAATTTTATAATTACAGTACATAATTTTTCATTCTCACCGAACTTAGAGAGCATTCAGGTGGTGAATTAGTAGGAAACAGATGTCAATGGCTGAAATGGCGTTACTATCGGATAGTACTTGTCAAGCTCTCACATTATTACACCACTAGATCCACACCAGGACCAACATTCTTTTTCACTTACAGAAAGCTGTATAGGTTACTTAACGCGATACCTAATACTTAGTTAGCTCTTCTAATCATAATTGTTGAGAAATTCCTGCAGTTAACAGGTTGCTTGGAAACCACTGCAAGATTTCAACCGTGTATCTTCAACGTGATATACCTCACGTCGGAACAAACCTTTTTAATTGATGTAATAGCCGTTAAATTAGAATCTACGCCTTTCTGTAAAGAGTAATTCCTTTATGTATTACAGGAACTCTGGAGTTTTGCTACTTATCATTCAAAAGAAGCAATGATTTTGCAATCGTGTCCTGATCCTGATTGCCTTATGGCTTCACTCTTCGAAGAAACTCAAAAGGAAAACATGTTTTATGTACTAGGGAACATAAGAAATTTATTGTTGTAGTGTAAGGTAGCTCGTGATTTGTGAGTGACGGTCTGGAAATTCCAGTAGTTTCTATCTCCATTAAGTAAGTTCACTATGTGTTTAGAAAGGTTCATTTGAAAGAGAGTGTTATATTCTAAAAAAAAATGGGAAAACATGGTTATTAACAGGTTATTAACACGTATTCTTTCTTTGATAAGCATATACGAGGTTGGTAAACAATTTTAATGCGGCTAATGCTTCTACGTCTTCGTCTTCGTCAGATTCGATGACCTAACCAGATGGTCCACAGTTGTTCCTCTTCTCGATTTGGCGTCTTCGTAGTCGTACCGGGACTGATCTTCTTCAAGGAACACCGCTTGAATAAGGCAAGCTCACATGGCACCGCTCTTCCATACAGGATTATTGCTGCCGATACGCCTATCCGTTAATAATAATTTGTTTTTCAAAGAATAATCCATCTTGCACCAGTCGCTATAACATTAGCTAGCACATAGCCAATAGCAAAACAATAATTTCACTCGGATAGTCGACTCTGATGGAGATGAAGAGGTCGAAACGTCAGCCGAATAGAACTTATATAACATCCTCGTATAACGTTAACAATCCAAGAAGGTATTCATTGTTACTATCGAAGTTGAATGAAAGTCGGTTTGAAAATTACTGTGTTGCTATTCTCTGTGTGTTAGCTAACATAATACCGA